TTCTCATAGAAAAACACATTATTCAGCTGAATTTTCATTTTTCTGCTGGAGTTTGCCGTATATATGTGATCGATCAAAAGCATAATTCTCATACTAAATTCATTTTTCCGTTTTTCTAGAACATTTTTCTTATCGGAAACGGTCTTATCTTTGGAGTTTGTTTAGTTAGGAGTGATTTGTTGAAAATGAGCATTTTTCTCTGAAGTTTCATTTTTCCGCTTGTTTTTTTCATTTATCTCACCGATCGAAAAGTTGTCCAATCCTCCTCATTGACAATCGTCAGGTCATTATAGACACAAATGTCTATTTTATTCCTTTCTTTTCTCTGTATTCATCGAAGAATATAAAAATACCTGTAGAAAATAACAATTCATTTATTCATTTCGAAGATTATTATCAATATGGAATCGAAAATAAAGATTATCGCACAGGAATTACTTCTCATGAACGATTGGTCGGATATAATCAAAGAAATGGGTAAGAAATTCATTTCTGATTCTCATTATCAAACAAGTGTTATTTATTTAGGATATCTTATTGAAGAAGCAACTCGTGGCGACATTATCTATATTGTTGTTGGCGTGAATGTGCGTGTAAAAGATCACTTTATATCAACAAGGGATAAATTACACCCACGCCCTGTCCGCGATCTAATCAGTTTTTTTGTGTGACATATCGAAATATATCTTTCACATGACCTAATTAGATAATTGTTTTGGAAAATTCAAATAAATCATCATATGCCGCATTTGACCAGCAGTACCTTGAGACTGAATACTCAGTAATTAAAAACGGATTTCTTCGTATTTATTATTTCAAATCATGTTCATGCAACTATGAATCGTGAGACTTGTTCTCTTCCGTTAGATAATATTTTAGTATTGTATAATAAGAATTTTGTTCTATAAATCATTTTTCACTCAAGGAAAATTTATTAATTACAGAATACCCGGTAACATACGCTTAACAATCAGCATTTAATATTTGGATCGATCTTCATAGCATGACCCGTAAGAGTATCTGTTAGATATAGCACATAATTATCTGTGATTAACAGATGAAAAAAGTATGAAGTTTTTAGACTGAAATTTCCAATTAAATTTCCAACAGTATCATAGATTTCAATACCATTTTGTTCTAGTACAAACCAACTTCGACCACATTCATCAATTATAACATGACTACCACCGGCCGTTGATCCTATGGATTCAGCATTGATTGTGACTGTTTCCGTCCATGATGTGCTATCACTACTATTCGCAGTATAAGATAAAACTGCATTGTTATACCATACTGTTGCATAGAAGAAAGTGTCATTCACATACCATAAGCCATGTGGATTTGGATAATGAGTAACTGCTTTCTGATAAGCATATGAATAATTCCCTGGTGTACTATCCAATTGTTTAAAAAAAAGAAGAGCATTGTTGCCGAAAGAAGCAATTACCATTGTTTGTCCATTGTCAAGAAACATAATATCGCGCGGATTATTAATATAGATTGAAGTGATTGTATTAATCATCGTGAGATTGTTACTGTCAACCACTACGATAGTATTTGAATCTGTTCCGATGTAATAAGCATTGTTATTAAATGCTAAGCTCCAAATTTGTGCTGAAATTGGGATTGAAGTTCGACTGATTAGTGTGAGATTTGTCGCATTAAAACGATCGATATATGCTGGCGATCTTTCGATTGCGACTACATAGCCATGATTGTCAAGTGCAAGACAACGAGGATTTGGTATGCTGACATAAATTGGTGTGGCGTTGCGAAGTTTACTGAGCAAGAAATCGAGATCAGGCATACAACATTGATTGACATTGGGTAGTGTTTGTTGAGAAAAGTACAGACGAGCTCCTGGTGTGGATTGAATACGGTAAGTTAATGGAATAGTGGAAAACAACTGACACGTGCTGTTTGAAAAGCAATTAAGAGCTGAATAATAAATTAATGCTTTGCACAAACATTCTTCACAGGTCAAATTATTGACTATACTGCTATTCGAAGTTGAAACTGCAATAAGTGTGACATCCTCAATAAATGGAATATTGAAAGAATTCACAGAAATCACGACTGCCAAAATTACGAAGAGTTCAATCCTCAGCATTGTAAAATGATGGAAACAATGATTGAAAGTGCATTCTGATAGCACATTATTGATTGATCGTCGTTGATAGGAAAACAAATGAGAAAGAATAATCAAAAAGATTCTTAAACAAATAGAACGCCTGTTTTTTGCACTTGTATTCTCGCTTTTATTGACTTAGCTTTCTGTGTGCGGAATGTTTACATCCGAAGAGAAAATCATCATTGATCGATTCTTTCTATGGAAATTTATTTAACTTCAGTTTTTTTGTCAATGGTTGAATGCAGGAAAGAACAACAGTGATGACGCACCATTTTTTTTTGAAAGCTATCAAAATATAATAAGAATAGAGTAATTAATGTATCTCTTTTTCCAAGATCTCTGTATACTGAGAATCTTTTCATTTGGTATATGACTGTTTGTGCTCTCATTTAAATTATTATTCTGATGGATTGGCCGCAGTTAGGTAGCATATAGTATAATTAATACAATGCATTGAATGATCGAAAATTGAAATGAACAGCGTATTAATTTGTTTCATCCGTTAGTTAAGTTTTTATACAAAAAGTTTCTATCAAAATTCTATTATTATATTACCAATTGAATAGCGATTAAATAGTGTAGAAAACTAGAGCTCCGTTTTCTCTATCATCCCACAAAAAAGGAAATTATTTCCCTCTGCCACTACTTTTCAGTATCCCTAAAAATACTATATCCAATCATTATCCATATATTTTAGTATTGATGATATAATATAGAGTCCACGAAATATATAATGCATGACTCGATGTTGAGTGGTATCAGTATTTTGTTGTGGTTTTCTTCGTCGAAATTACGTTAACTATATTTTGTTCAATTTGTACTTTGCCATAGCAATACAATGTGCGTAATAAAATAACAGACGCATTATTGTATAAGCTGATTAGAAAATTAAAAAAAGTCTAATTTTAAACATACAAGAACTCTATAAGTTCTTTAATCTCCCGTGCATATTATCATGATTTTATGATCTTATTCTAATTGGAAATTTTAAATTGCTTTTTCCAGATCTTACTATAATTGAGAAATATGATTTTTTTTCGTTTAATTCTATCAAATACAACATATATTTTGTATTCGTTATATTGTTCACGGTGATTTGTTATTAAATTGAATATATCGTTTTTTACACACATTTATTCACTTCTATTCCTTTTCACATTAGAAAAATATATTTAGCAACAAAATCTATGATGAACATTTAATAGATTGCATTTAAATCAGCTTATAGATGGAAAAAACATAGTTTATGCAGATCATATTTTAATTAAAAAGAACGGCAGCAAAGAATTTTCACATATTCATTTCTACACTTTATTATATTGTAATAATGAGCAATACAACACCATCAGCAGTAACTGAGGCTACTACTACGATTTCCTCGTTGGACTTTTATTTGTCTTTGATTCAAATTCCATCGATTACTACACAATTCTATTTATGGGGTTATCTAATCACATTCTTACTCGGTTTCACAGGCAACACTCTTAGTTTGTTAACATTTTCTCGGTCAACATTAAGAAATATATCAACAGGATGTCTATTCATCATATTAGCTACTTCGGATACACTATATTTATTTATATCTATTATAGACTTTGCTGAATTTGGCCTTAAGGTAATGCATTCTCACTTATGTCTATCCTCTATTTAAAATATCACATAGGTTCGTTTCTATCATCGCGTTGATTACGATCAATTATGTCGTTTTCGTATGTTTACAATTTGCGTATCTCAAGTGTATTCAGCATGGTTGTTGGTGATTATAACAAGTGATCGATGGATTCGTACAAGATTTCCATTTAAATCAAATTCAATATGCACACGGAAAAATGCTTTGTTGTTTGCAGCTATAATTCTGATTGTAGTTATTGGTCTTCATTCACACATTTTATTACCATTTTTTGGCATGGTATTACCAGGAATACCCAGTTTAGCATGTGGAGCAAACGGAAACAATGCAGAATATGTGACATTCTACTATTATCAATGGACAATTATTCAGGTCAGTAAATTGTAGCATGAACATACGCAACAATTAGTGTTAGAAATTACATTAGAGTTTGAAAAGATATTATTGAAAAATAAATTTTGTTAATATACTTGGTAATGAGTCCAATATTTTTCTTGATTTATGAATTAATGATTGATGGCAATATGAATAATTGATTTTCTTTATAGATAATCACAACTTCTTTTGGACCTGCTGTATTGATGATTATTATGGTCATGGATATATCTATTAAAATTCGTGCTCAAAAGAAACTAGTTACTTCTCATTTGGAACCAATCAGTGGTTATCGACCAGCACGATCAGATAAACGCATTCATAATCAAATGATTTTACTCATGTTATCAACTATTGGCATATTTTTTATTACAACTCTTCCGATAACCATAGACGATCTGGTTTCAGTTCACACAATTACTGATTTATCTGGTTTATCAAACCTTTTCATTATACGGACTATTTTAAACTGGCTTCAAAGTCTGAATTGTGCAGTAAGTTTGTTTTCTATGAATATATAAGACAGACTATTCTTGTTATTTTAGGTTAACTTTTATGTATATTGTCTTACTTCTACACTGTTTCGAAAAGAATTTACACAACTAGTGGGTATTATTCGTGGTCGACGTGAGCTGAGTCTGCAAGCTCAAACACACATGAGAACAATTCATGTAACACAGCCGCAGCAGCATTAAATCCAAATGGTTAATGGAAGCCTTCTGTTCTATTTTTAGTGACATTTTAATTAATATAATACTCTTATAAATGTAGTAGCTTCGTATCCTAATCGATGTTATTTTGCTTTGTTGCTTCTTTATCATACCTTATAATCAATGCACTCGGATGTATTTCTATTAGAAGGAAGTATTTTATACTTTCCTTTCATTATAATTTCACTAAACAAGCTTTAAATAAATAAATATTTGTCTTTTAATATTTCTTAACCATTGATCGTGAAATACTGCCAATTTGTTTCTATATTCGCTTTTCACAACTGCATACAAACAAAGAACCAGCAAATGTAGTAAATAAAGACAATATGATTGTATTTATACGCTTGAAAGTAACTGTGAAATTCTAACTGATCGTGCATCATATGATATTAAGAAATCATAACGTTGATTTTTAATCATAAATTTCTTGTTTTCTGATGTTCATCAATAAAGATATTACTATACCTCATAGGATGAAACACAAGGTTAAATAATATAAAATTCAAAGTTTCTAGATCATTAAATGATGATAGTAAATGAAGGTGTGAGTGTGGCTATTATAATGCTCTTCCTTTGTTATAGTCTGGTACAACTTGCGACTTTTCAATGTGCTCATTTAACATAAGAGTTTTTCAGGTATTCATTACAAGTATTGAACTTATTATTTTGTAGATACCATAACAATATCTCTTTTGTCTTTTCACATGATCAACTTTAAACGATCCTTATTATACAACTCATAAATTTCACCATCTCTGAGGTTTTTTTAGAGAGCCTGGTGTCACATTACTACTGAATATTGAAATAGTAATTTTTATTTAAGAAGAAGAAAAGAATGAAGTTACATGAAAATAATTAATATGTCTTGTTTAAATGGTTTATAAATTATCTTTCTCAATCTATTACGAGTCATTTCTTTAATTAGTTTATCACTAACTATAACATCATATTATTTAGAGATGAAGAATCATTTTGAAAATGACTTCATCTTAAATGTATCTAGTTCAAGTTTTTGGGTAATAATAATAATCAGTTTTAGACAGTTGTTGAATATTCTGATGTGTCTGTTGATTGGTATAATTTATCAGAGGAATGTTCTGGATGAATTATATTGGAACGTTTTTCCATGATGCGTCGTATTCTATTGGCTAATGGTAATCCAACGAGTTTGATAACAATAAATATAAGTCCAAATAATTCCAAACAGACTATTGTAAAAAGAAGATTGTGAAAAATGATTTCTGCTTGTTTAGCAATAGGTTCTTGTTGATTTTTAATATAATAAGTTGTTTCTGAAATTGAAATTGAGAACGATGTTTTTAATAAACCATAGTACATATAATCATCATAGGTAAGAAAAAGATCTGAAGTACTGGTGAGACTGATCAGACTCCATAGGCCATTGTAATAGCTTGCTCCACCATCATAAAGTGAATCAGTCTCATTGATGACACGAATAAGTTGAAATTCAATATTTGGATCATAAGCCATTGTCTGATTGTTCATCAGGAATGGTTGAATGAAATTAAGTTCACGAACAAGATAATATATCTTGCTCGATGAATTACTTGTTTCGAGTTGTTGACCATAGATGCGAACTCTAAAACCACCAATTGATTTAGCATCATCAAAAACATAATTGAGACTGATTGTGTGTGACTGAAGAACAGTTGAAAGAGAGAGTATGGATCGATTATAACTGCAATTCGATGATATCACTTTCGAATAAGCATGAATGGTCTGTGTGATTTGTACAGTATCACATGTTTGTTGAGTATTGATAAAATCCATGGTAAGTGTGAATTGCTGTTCATCGAGTAAATCAAATATTGGTTCTTCTTCTTCATTACGAGGTGTAGAAAGAGATTGGAGATTTGTCTCAAATTTTGCATTACGAAGTGTTTCGTCACATGCGAATGTTGATGGTGACGTCGTTTCAATTGGATATTGATTTAGATAAGATTGACTAAAAGTGTAAGCAAATATCAATAAAACCATAAGAGCAAGAGATGCAGGTCCACCAATCCACAATTCTCCTTCATTGATAAGATCGGCGTGACGAAATATATGTTTAATTAAAACACGAGTATCGGCATGTTGTTTGGAGAATTTAAGAATACCCATAGCAAGAAGAATAAGCATTATAAAACCAGTCATCACCATTACCCAGAATATTGGTGATACAAGTAAACAATGAGATGTACTACCAAAAGTAAACATATTCTGAATAAGAATATCATCAAAAATAGTAGATTCAGGTGATTTTGGATAACTAAGTTCTTGAGAGACAAATGTAAGCATATCTGAATAAGTATCATTAGTGACTGAACCAAGTGGACAAAATGAATTGTCTCCATTGCAATTGTAAAGTGAACATTCAGTACTTCCTTCTTCTAAAGTCATTGTCCCCATCGTACATGGATAGCAAATGTAGACACCTATCCAATATTTATAAGTACCTCCTGGACAATAAACGAAATCAGAGAATGCAGGATTAATACCCATGGCTACGCTTGTCGTTGGATAATAACCTTCTGGAGCTTGTAACATAACATAAACCTGTCCAGTTGAATCAAGAACTACAAGATTGAGTGTTGACATAGCGATAGTAATCAAATGTTGATCAAGATCAACCCATAGAGGACATTGAACTGTAGGAAACATTGGCATAATAGGATTGTCTGAGATAAATTGATCCCAATAGAACCAGTAGATAGTCGAGCTAGACCATTGGTAAGGAAACGAATAAGCATTTCCAAGTAAAACAGGATATGGACCTCCATCTTCATCGCTCCATCCTAAACTTTGACCATAGCCACGTTGATACCCATTGGCACGAGCTGCTAATAATGTTAAATTTGTTGTCGTTATAGAAAACCAGAAGACAATATTGAAAGATGGCATACCAACAAGAACAGCTGAAGTATTATCATGAATAGACACACTCATGACATGTTTTCTAGTAAAACTGCCTGCATCTCTATTCGTTGTTGTAGCTTGCCATGAGTCATTCGATGGTATATATGGCCATGTATCAACAATTGTAAAGAAATTTATATTCATTTGTAGCATATAGATAATAGGTTCATATATGTTCTGTGTCCCATTAATAAAACCAGCGATTATAGCCACATAACTACTACTTACATCGACAGCATGTGGTGTAAAATTGGCAAAAGGCCATTGTGCTAAGAAATTAATGCTGTGTGTTTGTAAATCATAGCTGAATGCAAATTGACTCGAAAATCCATACGCTATTTGACCTGATGGATCAATACTGTGTACAAAAAATTCATCGTGTCCAAATGATGAAAAATAGTACATATTGTATGTAGTTTCACAGGATGAGTTCACAAGAAGATGTCCAACGAACGGATATGGTGATGATGAATTATCTGTGTTTTCACCAATAAAAACAACGGATGCATCATAAGAGACTACTTTCGGTACATCTATACTATAGATAAAATTCATATCACCTGTAGCAAGACCTGGATAATCAATTTGGCATGGCGACGATAAATTAGATGGATTGAATGGAGCGAACTGTAGAATAAACTGAGCATCGTTATTACGTGCTTGCACCACGACTCCATCATTAGTTGCCAATTTTACACCATATGCATCGAAACTATTCCAATTATCTTCAGTAAATTTATACGATAAGACGAATTGTGTAAGTATTAAAACAAGCAATTGCTGAAGAAGCATATTGAGTCAGAACGATAGCTAATGTTCGTGTTTCTATTGTTTTAAAAAAGAAATAATGAACGTTAGTGCTCAATGTATGCTGATTTTTATTCTTACCTCTGTCGCTTGTACGGGAATATATTATTTTATTTACTTTTAATTTTATTTTGAAATTAATAACAAACAAAGAATAAGAGATTAAATTTACTATTTATAAGAAAAATAATTGATTTTTATTATGAAGAGTATTATCAAGTTCGAATATAACATTAGTTTCCAGGACATTTTAGACTACTGATGTTTCAATCACATTATGAAAAATCTTGCTACACCTGATTGTAATCAAGTGTACATGAGCGAGTTCTTTATAGCTGAATTGAGTAAATATTATTTTATTTAGACAAAGTGCGATGAATTCACTTATTAAGACGGTGAGATGCGTGTTCTTATACATCTAGGGTTGAATATGAATACAAGACGCTTCTGTGGACTAATTTCATATACAAAATTCTTACTTTAAAGAGCCTTTTTTTATTTGTCCAATTTATGTCGTTACGATTAGATCTTTCTACTATGCACATATTTTAAAAATGAAAAATGAAAGAGATACAATGTTTTTTTAAATATCTTTTAAGAGAACAATGGATACCTAAATTCATTTGATTTCTCCAGTTCCGTACGTGTCTTTAAAATGGCTCTATATAAAATTTCTCATTATATTCAATAACAAATAATTGACAAGTAACGTTCATCGAAACTCGATTCACTTGGCTCCGGACTATCGCGATCTGCATACGAATATAACTATATTTAGATGTGAATGAGAGTTGATCAATATTAATTTCGGCTTTCAGTACGAAATCAAATTGAATTTCTACTTTTTATAAAATCAAGCATTCTCTAAAAGTTTGATATTTAATGAACGAATATTAAACTTTGATATATGATGAATGGGTAATGAAGTTTGATGTTTGATAAATAAATAATAAAATTTGATATTTAATAAATAAATAATGAAGTTTGATATTTAACGAACGAATAATAAAGTTTGAACTCTTTTTCCTACATGCACTATAATAATATAAAATTTGTCATTATATTGAATAACAAATAATAGAAATCATCATAATAGAAAATTAAAATTGTTATTTATTTGAAAAAAAAATCGTCCGTTGGTAAATACAACGTTCGGAGAAAAAGTCATGAGATACAAAATAAATAAAAATTTATTAAAAAAAAAAAGAGCGTGATGCAATCAATTCATAACAACTTTTGATTTAGATGTAAAGAAAATAACTAGGTCACAAGCTAATTTTACACTTGAATTTGTGTTTTCTAACAAAAATATAAGTGTACTATATGAAAATATATCTGAGTGACTTGAACTATAGAAATTTGTTTAACTAATTTCTTCAAAATAGTCAGTTGGGAATGAAACTAGTAATCAGAAAATTTCAATCGAATAAAATCATTTAGATACATAACTAATACAATAGTTAAATTAAGTAATATCGAAAGATAATTTACGACGTTTTGGTTTTAATATAGATATTATTGAAGAATGAATTTTATATGAATCATCTGTTGTTGTATTTTCATCTTCTCTTACATATTACTCCATCTAAGACAAATCCATTATGGAAATAAAGGTTAGAATATGAATAATACTGTGTCCACAAGAATCTAATATAGGAAATGAAATCTATCTTCAGATTTCAATGACTTCTATTGAAATCATTTTTTTTATTTTTTAATTGATCTATCGAAATCATACAAAACTATAAGTTCATTTTATTGAAAGAACAAATACGGGTAGATTCCTGTGAACTAGTAGATAATATTATCATTCATTTGACTTCACCGTTTTCATTTTCATCTTCATCTTCATCTTCATCTTCAATCTCATCTGCCTTTTCACCATTTTCTTCTACTCGTGTAGCAATTTTTCTTTTTGGTACATAACGAAATGCTTTATCCAATTATTATTTGTATGTTTTAATGTTAACAAAATATTATAAACTTCATGAAATGCTAATGCTTTACTTGATGATGTATGAAATCTAGATATAAAAATGTTAATATACATATAAGAATAAAAAACTTCTTTTAACTTACGTCAGATATTTTTCTAATGGTAATTTTTCATGACGAATATTTTGTCTCACGGCTTTTTCATATGTTAAAGGTTCTTTATTTTGATCATCATAAATTCCTCCAACAATATAAACAGCATTATGATCAAAATGTGTCATTACATTTGGTGAATCAGGTGTTAAATAAACTAAACGATCTTTATCAAATAAATCAATATATTGATCTCTTGTTCCTTGAAAATAAGTTGAATGTTCATGTGGTAACGGATGACGTGATGTTTGAAAATTATCTGATAAATCACTTATTATAATATATGCCGGTGAATGAAAACGATCAATATTTTTAAAACAACGAAATACTCTTTGAATAAGTGCTGAAAAATATGAATGTCGATTATGAGCATATTCAAAACCACCATCAACAACAAAAAAATCTCCTAATCGAGCAGCTCTTGATAATGAATAAAGATCAAACAAACGTTGAGGATTAAATTTCGTTTCTAATGTAGCAAATATTGTTTTATGATGAAGAGATTCATATTGATTAGGATCTGACATAGTTGCTACCATTTCTTTTCTTTTTTCCATTCGTGATCGAAGACGTTCTTTTCGTACTTCTTCATCATATAAATATCTTAAAATAGAAATATGTAAATATTATTTTTAGTTTTTCTCTTTTTTGATTATTGATTTTACTCATAAAAATCACGTCGAACATCAAGTGATTTAACAAGAAAAAGTCTTTGCCAATATTTTAGACTTAGATCAGATTTTGGTGTTGGTTGAGCCCAATATTGATTTAACCAAGACATTTCTTCACGAAGAATATTTTTCTTTAATTCATCATCATTAATTTCATTAAGTGATTGAGTTACATGACGAAGAAGTGTCCATCGAAGTACAGAAATAGGTGTTGAACGTTTTGTTTTTGTATTTACTATTTGTTGCCATCCACGATGACGAATAAGCATCTTTTTTTTTATGCTTCTTTTAATTCCTTTTTTTATTATATTTAACTATCTATATTGAAAATTTTCTTCTTTCTATTGGATAATCAAATAAACCAATGAATATAGTTTGTCAATAGTTTAAAAGAAAAATCATCTGATCTGGAAGTCGAATCATAAATAAAATGATACTCAACTAGTAAACAATATGTATGAGTCAACTCGTTTTTTGTATTCTGAAGTGGTAAAAGAAAAAAAAAATTCTTGTTGTTTTGTTATTTGTTTAAAGTCATTGTCGAAGTGAAAATATATTTACAGCAGAATTAAATAATGGAATCAATTCATTTTCTTTTTTTTTTGTTTTTAGATGATGTTTTTATTTTTAATGTGTAAGTTTGATGGTAAAATAATTATTTGAAATTGATGTCAGATAAACAAGAAATCTCATCTGCTAAAGAAAAAGAAGATGTCAGATGAACTAAACTCATTATCAAATCCTATTGCTGGAAATCAAGCTTTGCTTGAAAATCAATCTGAAGTAATTCATTGTTTTTTTTATTATCGTAATTTTATTTTATTTTTTTGTCTTAAAGAATGAAACAAGAGATCTGGCTGTATGTGTTGAAGGTGCATGGAAAAATTATGGTTACTGGTGGAAATCTATGACAGCTTTACGTGATGTTACTCTTCATGTACCAACGGGAAATATGTAAATAATTTTATTTAAAAGAGATATTTTATAATAAATAAATAAATAATTGAAATTTTAGATATGGTTTATTAGGTCCATCTGGATGTGGTAAAACAACTTTATTAAGATGTATTGTTGGTCGTTTACAATTAAATCGTGGTGAAGTTACTGTACTTGGTCAACGACCTGGTAGTCGTGGCCATGAAGTACCTGGACGAGCTGTTGGTTTTATGCCACAAGAAACCGCACTTTATAAAGATTTTTCAATATCTGAAATGCTTCATTATTTTGGTCATCTTCATGATATGAATAGAAAAGATATTTTATCACGAGAAAAATTTCTTCTTTCATTTCTTGATTTACCTTCGCGTTCAAAAAAAATCTGTCAATTAAGGTTTGAAATAAAAAAATATTTCAATATAATTATTATATATATTTATTTTTATTTTGACAATAAAGTGGTGGTCAACAACGTCGTGTATCTTTAGCATGTGCATTATTACAACAACCACAATTATTACTTCTCGATGAACCAACTGTTGGAGTTGATCCACTTCTTAGAGAAAAGTTTGTATTTTATTTTTAGAATTTATTTAAAATATTTTTGTTTTTTTTTCTGCTTTCATTAGAATTTGGAGTCATCTTATTCATATATCACAAACAAGTCGAACAACAATTATTATAACAACTCATTATATTGAAGAAGCAAGAAAAGCTAATCGAGTAAATAAATATTTTGTTGTTTTTTTTGTTTATTGAATAAAGAAATTTTATTTTTAGGTTGGTCTTATGCGAAGTGGTCGAATGTTAGCTGAAGATGAACCATCACGCTTATTAACTATATATAACCAAACGGTTTGTTATTTTTTATTTAATTAAAATAATTGATTATCATAAAGAAGAAAATTATATTTTTAGAGCTTAGAAAATGTATTTCTTCATTTATGTCTTGAAGATCAAAATCGTCTTCAACCAAATCTCATGAACAGTACTAATGAAAATGATCAGACTAATACTACTGTCTCTATTAATAACCAAGATATACCTCCTCCTGATGTAATCAATGGTGAAACCCCTCATTCACAAATCAGAAGAAAAGAACTAGTAAAAAATCGTAAGTTTAGACAAAAAAACAATAATTATGAAATAAAATATATATATATATATATATATTCTTTTTGTTTCAGCGGTACTACGCGCAAAACGTGCTGCAGTTGATTGTTGTATTTGTCCTAAAGCACATAAAATTTATGCATCAATGGTAAAAGATTTAACAATGATTAAAAGGAGTATTGGGTAAATATTGTATTTAATATTAATTTTAATTGACTTTTGTTTTTATATTTAGCTTTTTAATTTTTCAATTTTTTATACCTGTTGTACAAATTTCTCTTTTCTGTCTTTGTATTGGTCGTAAGTAGAGTTTGATTTTGTTTATATATTTGTTTTTAATTTATTCATATTATTTTTAGGCGATCCTCAACATGTTCCTATGGCACTTTTTAATAGTGAAGCAATAAATGGGTTTCCAACAGGAAATTTAAGTTTAGAACTTTTAAATAAAATAAATTCTGAACAAGTTCATTTTGTAAGAAAATTGATTTAGTTTTTTTTGCTTTAAAATAAATTTTATTTCGATATTTCTTCCTAGACACCATTCAATGATTTTACTAATGCTATGGATGCAGTTAAACAAGGTCATTATTGGGGTGTTGCTGTTTTTAGATATAATTTTTCACAAGCAATTATAAATAAGTCTGTTTTATTTTATTTTTACTTAACTCTGATTTTCATTTATTTTATTTTAAAGATTAATCTTTGCAAAAACAGATCCAGCAACTTTAAATGCATCATCTATTCATCTTTATCTTGATATGACGAGTAAGGAAATTCTAACAAAAGCGAATTTTGTGTTTTTTTTTCTCGATAAGTTATTGATAGAATATAACTGAAAGAAAATGATTATTCTATTTTTATTCTGAGATCAATAAAGAAAGAAGATAGTATAACCAAGTACATTCTTAATTTCCTGAATACATGATACTATTCGATGCTTTACAGAATTTAAAATACGTCCTTTATTTAAAATTACTGTTTATCCTATATCAAGTTCTCGACAACTGAGACTAATGTTTTTTTTTACAGGGAGAAATTACTGCCTTGAATATAGTTATATGATATCTCTATGATTCTTTCTACTATTTATATTTATTAGAAAGATAAACAATAAAATTAAAATTCTTCGAAATACTTATATTAGAATAATGGAATTTGGATTTGATGAAAAAATGTTCTTCTCGCAATTATTTATTTAGTCAAATTATCTTGAGATTCGTGTATTTTATTGCATAGATACATTCAAAATTAATATGTAGGATAGGAGCAAAATCAGCATAAGTTATACTATGTTCTAGTGCCTATACAATTCTTTTTTATACTATAGATAATAAAATATTGAAATTATAACATTTTCTTTTATATTAAGATCAACAAGTATCATTTGTAATGCAAAATGTCATATTAACTAGCACTCAATTATTTTTAAAAGATGTTTTATCACATCATAAAGTTGACCCAGCATTAGCTGATCCTCCAGTTATAGTGGAAATCCCAGTTTATGGAGCAAAAGGTCAAAAATTTCTAAATTTTGCTGCACCAGGAATGATGATATCGATAATATTTTTCTTGGCAATTGGTTTAACAGCACTAATATTTGTAGTTGAAAAAAAAGAAGGTCTTTTGGAACGAAGTTGGATTGCTGGTGTTACAACTGTTGAAGTTATGCTTGCTCATATAATTGTCAAATTTTTTATACAATTTATTCAAATTATTTTAATGATTATTTTTGCTGATGTTATTTTTCAAGTTAGTTTTTACAATTTAAATTTATTTTTAATCTATGTTTTATTTAAAGGTAAAAATTGAAGGACCTGTTATATTAGCAATGGCATTAATATTTCTTCAAGGTATTTGCGGAATGAGTTATGGTAAATAAAAAAAAAAGAATTGAAATAAAAATTAACTATTATTTTTTTGATAAAGGTTTATTAATATCTGCAATGTGTGAACAAGAAGTTGAAGTAATGGAAGTAGCATTAGGAAGTGTTTTTCCAATATTACTTAGTTCAGGTTAATTCTTATCTTTTTTTTTTTTTGAATAATTTATTTTTTAATGCAATTATTGATTTGTTTATATTAGGTGTTATATGGCCAGCAGAAGGAATGCCGCCGATAATGCGATTTCTTAGTAATTTTACACCACTTACACACGTCGTGGAAGCTATGCGGTGTATTGTTTCTCGAGGTATGATTAATTTTATACAAAAAAAAAGAAAAGTATTTCTTATATATGTTTAATTGAATTTTAGCATGGACATTGGTTTATTTTAAAGTATGGTTTGGATTTGTCATCTCTGGTGCATGGACGTGTGGCTTTTTTACTTTAGCTGCTATACTCTTTGCTCTTCGTAAATAAATTCAATCTAGTCTTTTCTATTTGTTTTACTTTTCTTTGTGTCGTCGTCGTCGTTGTCCTTGTCATTTTTGTATTGAATTTAATTAAAATGAATTTTAAATATTTAAAATAATAAATTTTTGAAAAACTAACATATGTTTTGTGATAAAAAGATTAATAATCAAGCTAAATACAAACATTAAAAAATCAGCTTCAAAGTGGACACATAGATTAACTGATACTGATGTCGAATAAGAGTTCAAATATATTTTACAAATATTGACTAATTAATACAATGATTATGTTTATATAGACAGTTTTCTTTCGTTCATATCTATGAATTTAGATACACGTACTAACTATTGAATGATAAATAACAGTGTTAGTTGTAGAATTGAATTCAGGTATGTCATGTTTAATTAAGTTTTTAAAATGTTAGACTGTAATTGATTCTTTCTTTCGTTGGAAGTACAATGAATTTGCATAAATAGACTTTGTCAACATGAAAAAAGTAATTGTACATAAATAAATAGATCATTTGAAATGCAATTGTCTGAATATAATCAATAGAAATTACTTTTTATTAGAAGTAAGCAAAGAACAGGAAGAAATTTTTTATGCATATCAGCACTCTTTCGTCTTTGCTTTAAAACTATCTGCTGTCATTCCAGTGTGTTCTGTAAAGGCTAACAATAATTTTTAGCTAAACAGTTAATAGTATGAACATATGTAAATGATTTTAGTAGATAAGTTCTCAACTGTCAAGAATATGTTGTTAAAATATTGCTATTTCTTATGATAATAGTCGTGAAAATGTGAGAGAAGATATAGAGGTATAGAATTATCGTTGGAATTACAAACACACATGAAATTCAGTGAGACTTAATAATAACAAGCAAATAATTGTAGTCAAATATATTTCGTTGACAATAGTTAAACATTTAATTCATATCTTATAGATAGTAAAATAATATAATTCATCTGGATCATCCATAGCAATAGCTTGTGTTGCTTCATGTCATTTTGTTTTTGTTAATAAATGTTCATTTCTTTTTTGTTTTAAACCATCGATGATTGCATTTTTTAATAGATTAATGACGTCATGTATATCTGTTCTTTTTTTGTCTTCAGTCGTCTAAAAGAAAGAAGCAAGTTCATTTATGTTAAAAAAACAAGATAGTATCTTACAACAGAATTTTGTTACACTCATCTTTGGTTGTTCTGAAAAAGCGAGCTTCACGCAAAAACTACAAGTTAAATTGTTTATTTATACTATTTGATGTATTGACATGAATTAAATGGTGATGCTGTTATTAGAATTTAAACTAAATTATTTATTTATATGAATTAAAAATCCATTGGTAAGTTAATGTGAGCATTCTTAGAAGGTCCTTTATTAAATTCTATAACTTATTCTTTTAGTTTAAAGTGTACAATATGTTATAGAAGAATCGATTTTAGTATGTATTTTCATCATCCAATGGGATTTATTTAATTATTTTAATTTCAATACAAGTATATGTCTCATTGAGACAAACAAAAAACAATAGTTGAGAGAATTAGTCTGTCTCAACGCGACTAAAATTGTTCAACATCTAAAGGATCAGCATTACCTCGAAGAACCATGGATGATGAGTGTTCATCTTCTAGACTGCTTGCTACTGCTCGAGGATGACGGTCCTGGGCTTCAAGCCAACAACGTTGTAGGCTTACAGAAATATTCGTCCGGGCCTAAAAAATATACAATTAATAAAAGAGTTTCTTTTATTTTCAACTTTACCCATTTGATAGACAACAGCCCGTTTGCTCCAGTAATCGGCCTGTTGTCGTTCTATTTGAGTGACAGGTGGTGCAGTTAACGATCCCTCGTCACCGGGATTAAGAAGAACGATAGCCGGGACCTTAACGTTGATGGTGACCGTCGACTTGTATTTGTCGGTGCACTATAATTAATTTAAAAAACTCATTTATTCTTTTTAGAGATACAATATAGCTTACGAAAACCGCATCATTTGTCGAATTTATCCCAGGGGATATCGTCGAAGATAAGGTAATGGGCTTAGTCGTCCCACAGATTCAAGCTCCACCGACCTTTGAAATAACAATGCTGACCAGGCAATGATTTGGCAAATGATGTTTTGTCTAAATTAGATGGTAAGTAAAAAATATCTGACTAATATCAGACTACAATTTTCTCAATTATAGCATACCTATGCTAGTAAGGCCAATTAAGACCAAACATTGTGGTCAATTTGGATTCCATAAGTTATTGGTAATCCATTCGGTAACACCCGCATCTTTATGTGCAAAGAAAAATAATATATAAAATGAGTAACAAAAGAATATACGTAAATTTCGTGTGCAATCAGTAAATGAATAGTCCCTACAGAACTCCTGTACCTCCATTCGTTTGTGTTGGCATTTTGCCTCCTTATTCACGTAGATGAAAGATTTGTGAAAACTTAAATAAATAAATAAATAAAAAGATTTATGTTTAGTTTTTCAACTGCAAATGAAAAAAAACTCAAATATTCAACTCACTTTTCACTACATGATAAAAATTTATAGGGCAACACTTTACGGGTGTATACCATAGTCTTATCAACATTGATTTCGATAATCGTAAGAGTCGTGTCGGCAATGACATCCTTTTGCTGATGACGCTCCTCATCCTGAGCTCGAATGGTTTTTCGTTTAGCTGGTGGCAACTGAGGAGACGCCATACCAGTATTGATGTCACCAACCGGTGGACTGGTTGGTGCACTAGATTCCATGTTGTTCTGTTGGGAATCAGGACTATCAAACGTCCCATACTCGACAAAATCACTATGTATTAAAAACTAAAATATCTATCGATAGAGAGAATGACAACAGAGAAAAATACGTATATAAGACGAAGAAGAACAGAAATGAAAACGTAAAGTAGAATGAAAGAGAATTAGTACATATACTATTATAGTGATCATAACTCTTATTAACTGTACCTGAGTAAAATGCAGAATATAGCCGACACAAAAGAAAATTTTTAATAAAATATTACTTACATTATACTTGATGTTGTACATGATGTTACACATTAAATTGAATAAGGTGATCTGGAAAAAAATAGCACACATCCATATATACATAAATGCAATATATAATCGACGACGAACACTAAATGGACTAAAATGGTTCCAGTACATTCAGTGTGTATGCGTATAGAAAATTTAATACATATTTTTTCTTTGTTTTAACATGTAATTATATAAATTCAAATTGGTCTCTCTTTATCGATCATTGAGCTCTAATCACAAAGAAAAAAAAGAGCATCTAAAATATCTACGTTTTTTTTTTGAATATTATTATAAATAGTTTCTATCTCATTGTGCAAGTTTTCATAGTAGTTACAAATAAATATAATATCTCTTTGTTCTTTGAAAATAAATTCATTCTAGTCGTATATATTTGTTTTCCTTTTTTTTACTGCCATTGTCATTGTATTTTATTGAATTTGATTAAAATGAAATTTGCATATATTTAAAATAATAAAACTTTTAAAAACTTCACATATATTTTCTAATAAAAGAATAATAATAATCAAGCAAAATAAAATTTTATTAATGATAAAAATCAAAACAATTCGAAATGAAATACATTAAGACATTTACATTAGAACTAAATATGCAGTAGTTTAACTAGAAAAGTGATTGACAATTAATTATAAAGTTTAACAATACAATTTTTATTTGAAGTAATTGATTGTCCAGAATTATATATCAGATGAAGATTAGACCTTTGGTTCTAATGAGAATTGCAATATATTTTATATTAAACGTAAAGAAACAATTATTAGATCACAAATCGATCTACTAACGAACGTAATCTTTGGGGAATTTTTTTATATAAGCCATTTTTCAAGCACGCAAACTATTGTTCTCCAGTTCGATGCAACCATATATATATATATATAGAGAGAAAAAAGTTCATTACAAAAAGGCCATAATATAGTTGATAGGCTTCAATTATTTTTTATAACGGTTCATTTCCTGACAAATCTAATGACTGCATAAAAAAGTGTGTGTGAACAGCTGTTACATTATTTTGTTTATTTCTTAAAATTATATATCTTAAAAATAAAATGTTTTTGATCGGAAGCATCGAATAGACGGCTGAAATTTATATTTATTAGATTGTCGACAAGTATAGCTGTTTGAATACAAACGTTTCAATCGTTTCAACTTATATTATATGAAATCATATTATTAAGGAAACATTGATTATTACGTTGTTAGGTAAAGTAGAAAAATGATATAGTTTATAGAACTCGTGATCTTCTATAAATTTTCTTGTTTTACATGAATACTAATTCTTTAATAAATAATATTTCGAGTATTTTATTTCTTATTAGTGGCATCGTTTTTCAGAAAAAAAAGATATATGAAGCTATTCATTAAGAATTATATCAGAAAAAAATAAAATAATTAAATATAGCTATATAAAAAAAATTGTTTTTGAAATTTTTTCCGGACAATTTGATAATTTTTTTTCCGGAATTACGATCATTTCATCTGCCACAACTATTTATTTTCAGTTTGATGTAATAACGGATGTATGCTTGAGAAGAATGTGATGGTTAATAATGACTCTAAAGGAAAAAAATGTTCAACTAACATATAATTATATGACATCTAATGGCCTCTATTGATATTCATTTAGATTGGCTTAGATAATAATCAGCAGATGATAAGAATTGTATTAAATAAATATACAAATAGATACATGAAAAAACGATAATCTTGTATAAAATGAATGAAAATAAAACAGAGATGACTGATATTAATACAAATAATAATCATACTGATCATTCAGATGAGAGAAGGTAAATAACAAAAGATATAAATCTTTTAAAAAATATATTAAAATTGATTCTATTTAGAATACCTTCTCGTATATGGACAATTCGTTCATATTTGTTTTTATTATGTCTGATAGTTTTATCACAATCAATGATATCATCTGGTTATATTGGATCAATTGTTTCATCATTAGAACGTTACTATGGTTTTTCTACTTCGCGTTTAGGAGTTGCATTTAGTAGTTATGATATAATGGGAGTCTTATCAATTCCAGTAATATCATATTTTGGTTCACAAAATAATCGACCACGAATAGTTGCATTTGGTGCTTTATTATTTGCAGTTGGAAATATATTATTTATTTTACCTTATTTTATAAATGGTTATGAAAAAGAAACATCAATAAATTCATCAGATCAAACAAATGAACATTTTTGTCAATCAAATTCTTCAAATCAACCAAGTTATTCTTATAATCCTTGTTCACCATTATCTACAACAAAAATTTTATCTCATTTAACACCAAATTTACTTGATAAACATATATCAAATACATATGTAACACCACAACCAGCATGGACTTATTATGTTCTTATATTAGCAATGATAACTATGTCTATCGGTGCAAGTCCGTTTTATACATTGGGAATAACATTTTTAACAGATCACCTCAATAAAGATGATCAAGCAATTTGTACAAGTAAGTAAAGCAATTTCTTTTTATTAAATAGAATTATTTTCTTGTTTAATTTATTTCAAATGAAAAATAAACCAATAACTTTTCTCTTTAATTAGATTTGAATTAAAAAATAAAAAGAACTTGAGGTAAAAGTATAGAATAAAACAAAAAATTAAAACTAATATAATTAACTGCTGCTTCTAATTATGCTTTAATACTTTGAAATTATATTTTAAAGTTCATCTTTATCATCATTTTTATATTTATGAGATACATCCGAAGTATGACGAATTGGTGGACGAAGACGAACAACACGATAATCATTATCGAATTCTGTCTCGTCATTCATTGATTGTGCACAACGAAATGACAAATTTTCTGCAGTATAATTAGGAGGAAAACCTTTTCTTGCACTTGTTCTAACTTGAATATGATCAGTTTTAGTATCACCATCACGTGTATCAACAAATGAACCACCTTTAACTGTATATTTTTCAGAAATAGCATTTTCACTATTATCATCTTGATATCTAAAATAATAATAAAAACGAAATTAAATCTATAACTAACTAATTTCCATACTTAGTCATTGTCCATTCCCAAGTATTTCCAAGCATATCATAAATTTCATAATTATTTTGTGCAGGAAAAGCATCAACTGATGATAGACGATAAAATCCATCTCTTAATTGATTTTCATATGGAAATTTTCCTTGCCATAGATTAGCTCGTTTTAATTCCCAAGAATCACCCCATGGATAAGTTGTTAAATAAAGTCCGCCACGTGCTGCATATTCCCATTCAATTTCTGTTGGAAGTCTCATACCTTTCCAAGTACAATATGCTTGAGCATCATTCCGTGATACATGAACTACTGGATAAGATAAACGATCATTTATATCAGTTATTTCACCTTCAGGTCGATTCCATCGAATATTTTGAATAGCAACAAAACCTTCGTCCTATTTTAATAGATTAACATAGATTAGTAATAATAATAGTAGTATAATAGAAACAAACCTCAGTAGCAATATTAACAATAGCTTTATTAGTTGAATTTTCAAAAACAAAACTGAACCCATTAACCTCTGCTTGAGTTCGATAACGTGTCTTATCTTGAGTATATCGACGAAAAGCGGCAACAGTTACCGGATATTGATAAATTCTTTATCAAATAAAAGGAAAAAAATATAAGAAAATAAATATTGAATACGATAAATAAATATTTACCTAAATGGTTGAACATATGCTTTTTTAGCCGGATATTCCATATTAATTCCATTGACATCGTTTATACCCATTTCAAAATATCCTCCTTGAAGTTCAATAAATGATTCGAAATGACGAAGTTTATCAACTAAATCATCTGTATTTTGACATCGTATTAAAATTGGTAGAAGAAAAATAATCATCCACATCATTGATAGGTTTCTTTTTATGTGAAATGATATATACATATTATTTCGAAATATAAGAAATAAATGAATAAATAAACAGTGGCATCAACTGTTTCCTTTTTTTTAGGTATTCTATATGGAATGGTTGCATTAGGACCTGCCCTTGGTTTTTTAATGGGTTCGGCACTTCTTTCTACATGGATAAATATTGGTGATAATGCAATTCCAAATGGAATAACATCAAATGATCCACGTTGGATTGGACGTTGGTGGGCAGGATTTCTTGTATCAGCAAGTTCATTAACAATACTTTCATTTCTTCTTTGTACATTTCCTGATAAATTACCAAGAGATAATAATCAAACATCACAATCAATTGATAAAACACAATCAACAGAATCTGTTTGTGCACTTGGACAAGCTGCAACACGACGTCATACTTTACCAAAATTATCACATCCAACACAATGTAAATCTTTATGTCAAATATCAAAATTTAAAGGTTTATTTTCTTTTCTTAATATTTAATAATTAAAAACAAAAAGGAAATTTTATTTATAGATATATTAACAAGTATAACTGATCTTTTAATGAATTTTACTTATCTTTTAATTGTTTTAATTAATTCAGTAGAAAGTGTAAGTTATTTAAATAATTAATTTAAAAAAGAAAATTTATATTTTTGAAATCTATAGATTCTTGTTGTATCATTTACAACATTTATGGTAAAATATATTGAATCTGCATTTAATCTATCATCAGCATTATCAAGTACATTAACTGGTTCAATAGTTGTTCCTGCAGCTGTATTTGGTACATTTACAGGTGGATATCTTGTTCGTCGTTTTCATATGGGTATTTTACAATGTATAAAAATGATTTTAATTGCTTGTATAATATCATGGCTTGGTTTAATTGCACTTCTATTTTTAAAATGTCAATCAACAACAGTATATCAAGATAGTAAAGAATGTTCAAAATCTTGTCATTGTTCTCCACATGTTTATCAACCGGTTTGTTATCAAGAAAAAGTTACATATCTTTCACCATGTCATGCTGGTTGTACAAATTTAACTGGAACAGTAAATAAATTTCTTTTGTTGTTTCTCTATAATTTTTATATTTAAAAAAAATAATAGGATTATTCAAATTGTACATGTTTACCAAATGGAGATAGTAATGTTCGTTTAGGTTCATGTCAAAATATATGTTATACAGAAACATTTTTATTTTTATCAATATTATTTGTTGTTACATTTTTTCAAACATTAATGGCAACACCACAATTAATTATTATATTACGTTCTGTTCAACATGAATTACAATCCTTTGGTTTAGGTTTAGAAAATTGTATTATGAAAATTCTTGCTCAAATTCCTGCACCGATTTTATTTGGAATAATTATTGATAATCAATGTTTATTTTGGTCACAAGCGACATGTGATCGTCGTGGATCATGTTTTATATACAATGGCGATCGTCTCCCATTTACATTATTTGGTACAGCAATTATTATTAAATCAATCTCATTTTGCCTTTTAATTATTTTACTTACTGTTACAATAAGACGACATAAGACACCAAATACTAATTTATCTTCAACTGTTGCTGTGCCTCCAATTTTACCAGTTCACGAACAAGAAAATCCTCTAATTATTACGCCTTCTTAGTCAATCAAATCTCCTTCCATTTATGAATCTCATTATTTTATTCAATTTACAAGTTTTTTTTTTCTTCTCGTTTTTGTTTTGTATCTATATGAATTACATCTGATAAAGCCTTATAATTATTTAAATAAATGTATACCTAATAAATTGATTGAATAAAAACTATTATTTATATAGAACTAGCAAAATAAGGACGATGAAATCTACTCTGAGAAATCTTATTATATTAAATAAGAAGAAAATATCATCTAATGTAGAAAAAATAACAAATTGCTTTTAGTATGAATAGAAAAAGTTATTAATTATGAGAGAATCATTTTCGACAATCGAACCACTTGTGTTCTTGTTGTTGTTGTTATTCTTCATCATCAACTTCTTCTTCGTCTTCTCCTTCTTCTTCTTCGTCTTCGTCATCATCATCATCTTGTTGCTCCTCGAACAGACGTTAAAGACGGAAAAGCAAGGTGCTGGAAAAAGAAGAAGCGAGAGGATTGACGTCATCAAATATAGAGAGAGAGAAGACAAGACGGCGCGGTGTTCTCATGCGATTATGAGACACAAGAACGAAGGGGTTTTCTTTCTCGCTCTTCTTGACTGTTTCTTCTGTTTGTTGATAGAATTCTTCTACTCGAAGACATTCTACAGAAAATAAGAAATCGCGCTACTAAAAGAGAACACATTTTATGACAAGCATTACAGATGGGTAAGTCACATCTTTATTAGATCTTCTTATTTTTCTTTATTTTGTTGTACTTTCAGATGATTCTTGTATCTTAATTTATATTCAATGACTGAAAGGCGTGATTCAACAATTGATGGTAATTCAACAGCATTTGATTATGATAATTATATATTATCAATGATTGGAGATGGACAATCAACAGACAATTCATCAGGCAGTGATGACAATGCCAAAACAGATTATCGCTTATCATTACCATCATCTTCACATATTAATACATATCGTTTGAATATAAATCCTGCGATAAGTGAAAGAAGAAAGAAATTCTTATCACGTATTATTACTATTGTTGCAATATTTCTTCTTGTTGTTTGTATTTTACTTGTTACATTAACACTTCGACTTGCACATAAAATTGATGAACTCGTTCGTCTTAAACAACTTATGCCTAAACCAAATACATTCTTACTTATATCAACAACAACAACTGCAACAACAACATCAGCAGCAACAACATCGTTAAATAATCTTGTTCATAGACGACGAACATCATCATCATTATTTACTTCCATCATTAACAAACAATTAGTATAAAAAAAAATAACACAGATTTTATTGTCCTTGTTTTCTCCTGACATCTTTCTCTTTTATTTTACTTGTCAATTCTTTACTCTAATGGAATTTTTGTTTTACTAATGACTCTGTACATTAGTAAAAGTTAAGTCTTGTTTTTTCTTGTTCTTATCGCACATCGTATCAGTGTTACTTCAGGTGACTATTACTAATTCTTTTTTTCTTCTCACTATATCAGTTAGATATACTAAAGTATCGAATAGGTCAGAAGTAGATTTAAATTCTATATCAACAAATAATATGGCAAGACAATCTGCTACTGAAATCGATCAGATGATTCAGCGAGTGCGAGTAAGAAAAACAAATCGAATTTTTCATCAAAATCAAATCTTTCAATTTTAAAGCCTACAAATCGTGATTTGGTTCGTCGAGATATTACTCAAGGCATTCATTCAACAACAAGTAGTTTAAATCTAACTATTGTTCCATATTATTATAATAATGGAACATCAAAAGAATTACTTTGTTTAAAAGGAACTGTAGTATGTCGATATAAAGGAAATCAATATAACATTCCAGTAGAAATATTTCTTCAACAAGATCATCCAATTGTTGCACCAGTCGCATATGTTAAACCAACACCTGATATGCATGTTTCAACAACAAGTAGAGATGTTCAACCTGATGGAACAGTTATTATACCTTATTTAAGAAATTGGCGTCATGTAAAACAATTCGGTTTATATTTCAGTTTAAATTTTATTTCATTTTATTTTTAGCCAAACAGTGATTTAAATCATTTAATAAATGCAATGTCTGATGCATTTAGTCAATCACCTCCTGTGTATTCAAGTGGTAGTAGTAGTAGTACTACTACTACAACTAATTATGCAACACCATATCCGACACATACATCAATGCCAATACCACCGGGAATGGGAATGGGTGGTAGTACAGCAAGTACATCACATTCATATCCATATGGATATCCACAGACAGAAATTCCTAAAGATGTCTATCGAGAATCACTTCAAGCAGCCGTTGTAGATCTAGTTCGAAATCGTTTAAATGAATCAATACAAATAGAAAATGCACAAATTGATTCACTTAAAAAAATAGAATATGATTTAAATGATGGAGAAAAGAAACTTCATATATTCCTTCGTGATATTCAACAACAACAAACTCAAGCACAAGTTTTTATTCTATTTTCTTCTTTCTTTTTTCTATTTTAAATTTTATTTTCTAGGCTTACATAACCGGTATAAAAGAAAAAACAAATGATGTATTAGATAGGGCACAAAAAATGTCATCATCAGGAAAAGAAAATTCCCCAGCAGATGATGCTCTTATAACTCCTGCACCTGTTTACAAACAGTAAAGTTTTTCTTTATATTACTTTTCTTTTTTTTTTAATTTTTTCTCTTTGTTGCTGTTAAAGACTCTTACAAGCTTATGCTGAAGAACATGCTATTCAAGATTTATTATATTATCTTGCTGATGGACTTCGAAGAGAAGCAATTGGATTAGATGTTTATTTAAAGGTATATTTTTTTACTTATTAACATAGTTTATTTTTATATTTTCTTTTCTTTTTAGCATGTTAGAGAATTATCCCGTAAACAATTTATTTTACGAGCTACAATGCATAAATGTCGACAAATTGCTACTCCATCTATAAGATAAATGATTTTTCTTTTGTAAATAAAACTAACGATGATTTTTATTTTGATCAATGGACGTATTGATACTTAAAGTGAGAAAATGATACATTAGTACAAGAAAAACAAATTGTACTATAATATAACATTAAAGAGAGAATAAAATATATTTGTGTGTAATTTGATATACTAATGGGTGAAAATCGTATCAATCATTAATGTTTGAAATAATTATAAAAAGAAAGAAGAAAGAATAAAATCGGTTATAAACTATGATCGTGTGTGTAGTGATGCGTATAAGATACATATTACGCGATTTTTTATTGTCAATCGCGTGTAAACATGGTAGACCAAGTCAAACACGAAAAGCAAAGTACAAACATACCTTTTATAGATGATAATAAAACTGAATCTAGTAAAGTAAGTAATCGAAAATATTTCGATTTTTTTTCTAAACTTCTTTTATTTATAATCTAAATTAAAAGAAAGTAGCAGCTAAAAAAAATGGTTCATCTGATAAATTTTTGGCATCAAAAAATTCTTTTTCGAAAGCACCACCAACTGATAATCTTTATTTTAAATTTGATGATCCGCATTTAACTAAGGAAGAAGAAGATCGTTTACAATTATCATTCAAACAAGGAGTTGAAAAACAAGCAAAAGAAGTTGAAAAAAGTGCTGAAAACAAACCAGTATGTGAAATATTTGAATTTGATGAAAAAATGACATTAAATGAAAATATTCCTGGAGTAAATATGGGTTTTCTCGATCGATTATTTCATCAAATAACTCGACCACCACCTTCGGAATCCGATTATTTAAGTGATGATGTATTTGTAGAAACTGAAGACGATGATATAAACATAAAAACTGTAACTAATAGTAATACAAATGTTGGTCATAGTAAATCAAAACGTGAAGGTTCATTTATGGAACATATTCGATTATTTTTTACTGATTTAAATGAAGAAACTGAGGTTATTCGTGGTGTTATTGACGAAGATACTTTATTTAATCGACGAAGCCGTAAAGCAAAACAAATTCATCCATCAATGCAATATAATCAAATAACATCTCTGTAACTTTTCTTTTTTTATATAAATTTAGATTGATATTATTAAATTTTATTATCATTTTTATATGCATGTTATTCTCCACATCTTATTTGTTTATAAAGAATACGCTTTATTTATATAGAGGTCAACATGAATTGCTAATGTTCTCTCTTTCTTTCTACTAATTAATATGCATGCACTTACAATATGTTTAGATTAGTCAGAATTAGAAGGGTAATAAACTATTATATTACAATTTGTAAAAGAAATATTTTTGTTAATTATGGGTCATGCATCAATAGATATTCATTAATATTATAGAAGAGTGGGTAGATGTGGGTGCTGTGTTTATTCTATCAACGCCCACACTTGCATCCACATTTTTCTCGTTCTTCGTTTTTTACTGTTGATTGCATTTTTAGTAATGTTTATTCACATAACCCGACTAAAAATAAGTTTCGAAAATGAAATATTATCTTATAAATAATTTTAATCTAAAAAAATTTATTTCTCTTTGAATATAATCTGTATATAAAATTAAAGATAAGTATAATATGAAATAGGTGTTGATCGACTACTACTATTTGTTGTAAGAGTATTTGAATTCTGTTCTTTTTGTAAATCAGTTTGAAGAATATCATAAGCTATTTCCGATATTGTTGCTATTTTATTTTCTGATCTTGTTGATGAACGAATTGATCGTCGTGCAAGTAATTGTATTTGTGTATCAAATGTTAAATGCCAACTAAAATAATGTGTTCGTCTTATTAACCATAAACTATGTCCAATTGCTGATAGAATAATGAGAAAACAAAAAATCGTTATTAATGATAAAACCCATCCAAGATTTTTTTGATTTGTAAAAGAAAATGATTTTTTTGTAGTTATTTCTTCATCGAATATAATTGTTGTTGATTCATATATTAAATCTTGTTGACTACTTTGAAATTCTTCATTTGTTGTTAATGTATTCATAAAACCAGAACCTTCACTACTTAATGTCATGAAATCATCATCTAAAGTTGATCGACGACCAATAGAATTTGAAGAAGGTGTTGGAACTAGTTTATATGAATATGTTACAAATTAATTTTTTAATTTTAAATATCTACCTGGACGATATTTTGGACAAGATCCTTTCCAATCAATATTTAAATTTGATAAATAAAGTGTATCTAATTTTGGATTACGAAATAAAACTCGTGTTTCAATTGATAACTAAAATTTATTTAAAAAATAATCAAAAAATAAATCAATAGAATTCTATTCGTCATACATTTTTTATTTTTGATCTTAATGAATGTTCAATACGTAAAGTTTTATTAGTTAATTGAATTTTTTGTAAAGTATTATCTTGTGCTTTATCTTCTACAATCCATAATTGACCAACTTAAATACAAATATTATATCAATTTGAAAGCAAAAAAAATCTAATCATTAATATTTTACCTGGTTGACCACGAATTCGTAAAGTAAATGAAAGACAACCACTAGTATTAGATGATAATGTACTATTATATTTTAATATAGCAGAACACATTTGACGAACACATCGAGGTTCAGATGTTAAAGTATATGCTGCACCATTCCATAATGAATCTATTAAATAGATTTAGAAAAGTTTAAAACAATAATTCAATGAATTTATTTACTCGGTATAGATTTCCAAATTAAATTCGATCGATAAGAATCTTTTCTTTGACTTTGATTAACATTGAACCATTGTTCGTCTATGATTAGATTTGTTTGTTCTGATGATGTCATAAAATCAAAATCATTTGTTGATGAAAAAGAAATTGTATCTGATGAAATCGTATTAGATGGAATAGTTGATGAATCTGTTTGATTAATATCAAATTGATTTGTTGTTTCTAAAAATGTTGTTCTTTCATTTCTTATTTGAGTTATTAAATTTAACTCATTTGTTATTGATGAACTTTCATTTAATATTAATTCATCATCTATATATTGTGCTGAATTAAAAGAAATATATATATATTTGTTTTAATACTCAAATCTATTTTCTTTTTATTACCTTGAACAGTAAATAAAATGGAAAAAATGATGATCTTCATTCTTCTTTTCTTTTAGGTAGTGTTCACCTTTTTCATTCTTTTTTTCGACACATAGAGTACTCATTAGAACAATTGTTTCAATCAATTTGTTTGTTTCTAAGACAAAGAATGACCTTGTTTAAAAGAAGAAACACATGTTATACAATACATATTTTAAGAAAAAAAAGAAGAAGAAGAAGATACTGATAGAGACGAAAAAAAAAAGAAATGTTTTGTCTTGTATTATTTATGGACTCCATTCAAGTAAACCAACACCTTGTCCATCGAGAAATGAATTAGTTAAAATTCGAATCCAATCAACAAGCCACCATATACCAATACCACCAAGAGTTAATAATTTAAAAACTCCAGCTACAATATAACCTGCATTACCAACACTTAAATAAAACCAATCAGCACCTAAACCACCAAGAAAAAATGAAAGTAGAAATGCGGCTAATTTTGATCTTTGTTGATAAGTACATTGATTAGATCCATCTCGTGCTAATGACCAACCACGATTGCATATACATAGAGCAGGGGTTGTATTTGTATTACATATTCCTTGACCGCAATCAGTTGATGTTGTACAGGGAGTTAATGCTCGGGATGTTATATTTTGAGCTGTTGTTATCGAAATAATAAATGTAAAAAATATAACGATTGATATCATTATTTATAAAAAAAACTTCGTTCTTGTCGTCTTTATCTGTTAGAAATGAAAAATGATCATTTTGATTGACTATACAATATATTTTTCATTTACTTGAACAAATATATTTTCGTTTGGTAAATATTTGTATTTATTACATTTGAAAGACAAGCTCTAATCATATAATAGAATTCAATTTCTTTTTCATTTATTCTTCTAGACTATATTCGATTCATTATATTAACAAAATAAAAATAAATATTAATTTAATCGAAATAAAAGAACAACAGTTTCATGTTAAACTTGAAAGATAATATCATTTACTTCTTGACTTTTAATTTGTTAACGAGAGAGAGAGAGAGAGAGAGAGAGAGAGAGAGAGAGAGAGAGAGAGAGA